CGACGGCCATCACGCTGTCGTGGCCGGCGAACAACGTCTCGGGACAGCTAAAGCGCGCGGTCGCGTGTGCGCTGCAAATCAGTGTCGGAAACGTATGTGCCCTACCCTGACCCTATGGATCCTTGACGTCTCTGACCTGCTGCATTTATCTACAGGGCCTTGGTGCGATTGTAGGTACGCAGTTATACCGTTACGGGCCCCGTTTCTATCTCGGCCACGGGTTTGCTATCGGATACCTCTGCCTCGTAATCGTCGTGTCCTCTCTAAACTGGTACATCCTCGCAAGAAGAAATGCCAAGAAAGCGTCGGAGGACCCTGCCGCATGGGCGAAGGCGGAAAAGGAGGACATGCTGCTACTAGGCGACGAGCACCCGTCATGGAAGTTCCAACTATGATACGACGTCTTGTAATGATGGACTGTAGTTCCGATCTGAATTATAGAGTATTTTTTACAGAGCTTCACAGGCCAACTAGACCCTTCGGTTGTTTCATCAAGTTCTCTCGACATGAGCCGCAGACCGAGTCGCTGAGGCTAATACGCGAAGCTCGAACTAAGCCCCTTCCGTTATCTGAGCTATATCCTATCAGCCCACGTTTGTGCAAACGAATTCATTGCCAGCTATTCTGTTTATTCACAAAACACCTTTAAGCTACTCGCAACACAACAAAGCTGCAGAGGACTTCTGACCGTACCAGCAGCCGCAATCAGGTCACATACAACGAGCGGGTCCATTATATCACCCAAGAAGTTCTATAGAGCATCACAACCACGATATAACCTCTCGACCCTATATGAGCACTCCACATATACTTTCTACAATCTATAGCTCTGCGAGACGCGTTAACTAATACACTGTTGAATGCAGTTTGTCTGTGACGCACCTTAGATGTCCCACTATAATCTACAGTAAACTATGGGAAATAAGCCACCTACCCATCTAGCTCGAGGGCGAATGACGCTGCGACGACGACTGCGTCATCTCGATCTCTTCTCCGGATTGGTGTATCAGAGGCGACGGCATGCTAACGGCGGCGGGCATCGCCGTACGCTGACGACGGCGAGGCTCCGTCGATCCCGGTCTGCTGGGGGTAGGAGATATTGACTAGAGACACATCAGCCAACTCACCACATTCACACATACGACGATGATGCTTACCGCGACCGAATTTGCATCGCCAAAGACATCCTGTGTGTCATCCACTGAAATCGCTCCCGGCTCAGTAATCTAATCGTCCACACAATGGGCACACGCACGTATGATGGCTTCCTTGTCGGTGAGGTTCCAATGGGCAGAAGGCGCTCTGAGCTCTTGCAAACTGCCGGAATGCTGATGCCTCGCTTCTTCAACCTCGGCTTTCGCGAGCTTCTTCTTATCTTCCGCTTCCACCTGCTCCCAGGGCACAAGTGTGACCCGCTCGGCACTCGGGATCGCATTGGGATTGCCTTTGGGACCGAAGATTTTGGCCTTGTCCATGGCCGACTTCAGCGCGCTAATCCACTTGTTGCGACGCGTCGCTGGATACCGGTGAACGCAGGCACTATACGAAAAATACGGCACTTACATTTTAGGGCACTCTGTTGCCAATTGCTTTTGTATTTAATGTCCGAGTGCAGTGTCATCTTCTCTTGTGCAGGAATGTCTGTGCAGAGAAGAATGAGATCCAAGTAGGATTGTCTTGGTCTAGGACACTCGCCGACGATGGTTACATCAAAGTTGGGTAGGAAGTCGCGCCTTTCAGACTTCAAGAATGCAATCATGAGCTCTCGCAGCTGTTCAAGTTGCTCGAACGTCGTGGAGAATGCCTACCAAGGCAATTAGCAACAATCTAAGAGTCATGAAAACATACTTACAACATCAAATTTGAAGGCCTCAGACATCTTTCCGGCCCGGTCAACTCTACTAGCAAAGACCGAAGTGTAAAACACATACCACAGGGCTCCGTCGGTAATTTTGAATGAACTATAATCACATGAGACCCCAGACGCCGCGATAGGCGGAAACTCACCTTCGTGTTCAATAATGAATGTGGCGCTTGGACCGAACAATTGCTCGAATCGATGAAGATTGTGCTCAGTAGGCGTATCTCCTTTACAGTGTAGTCCAAACTGTCTATTGAGACCCTATCTCCGACGTCGTATGGGTGCTTCACGAAGAGGAAGATAATGCTCGTGAGCACTTCTCCAAGACTCGTTCCGATCAGCCAGCTGAGTCCTGCACGGTTCTTTCATTCAGTCGCTATCCATTGCAAGATAAGGAATTTGATGTACCAAGGACGAATGTCCCCGCACTGGTGACCAACGTGAGCAGCTGGGCTTCCTAGGGCACTGTCAATGACCGCGGAGCCGTGGTGGTTGGAGGACTCACGAGGGCAACAGCGAGGATAAGAATAGCCGCAAAGACGTAAATAGTCATCAGGATGTTATCCAGACGTCCAACTGCGCTATCCAGGTCACGCATAGAGTGCTCAATGGACAGCTGCTCTCGGTGACATTCCCTAACACCAACACAACTCAGATAGGTCGTGGCTCAGAAGAACAGGTCACAGCTACTTACATGCATGCGATTTCCACCTCGTCCCGTGTAGCATCACCATTCATGTCCTTGTCAAATAGTGCAAATGCGGCATCTGCATCCTCTGGAGTGGGAAAGAATGGCATGATATCGTTCACCATCAGGGAGTGAGCGCCTGGCTTGACGAATGAGTAGAACAGGCGGCGAGCGAGCTGTAAATGGATGTTTAAAAACATTACAGAACAGAACAGTCAGCGTCACTCGCCAAGCGAGACTTGTTAGCAGACTCTAAAGCAGTCTTGACCACAGCCTGAGGCGAGTTCGGCTGCAAGACGGAGCTGATCACCCCATGAGCGACAAACGACCTCTGCGCAAGCTCGCGGCAGTCACCTTCCAGCGATCTCCGAGGCAACGTTGCCTAGTGCCGTCGTAGTAGTAGTCGCTGCAAACTTCACGCCCTGCAGCGCCTTCTTCAGAAGCTTCTTTGGCTTTTTCGGTGCATGTGCGTCGACTTGACCGTCGCGAAGGGTGTCGGAACGCCAGGGCATATCGCTGGAATGGCGATACAAGTTGACGAGTATCCGCACGGCGAACTTCTGGTCGGCAACACGCTCTTCAAGCTTGTCAGCTCTCTGGAAATTCCTAACTGCGCTTCGACAAGGGACGTACCAGCATACGAGCGCTCGTGGAACTTTGCAGCAATGTACTGGATGGCCACTTTCTCGCCGAGCAGAATGATCGCACATTCGAACAAGGCGAAGAAAATCCTTGCTGCGGTGGATAACGCCGTGCCGCTGCCAGAGCTGATGTTGGGCTCTCTTCGAGTGTTGATGAGCGGCTGGAACGAGATCCACACGACGAGAGTCCACACAAACAGAGCAATGTATCTAAGCACATGTAAGGCGCGGATACACTGATCAGGTGAATGCTATACACCAACCTCCGAAGTGGTCCCAGCCACTCGATGTAACGCCGCATACCTACCGCCACCACTCCAATGGTGTTACGAGCGACGGATGGCAGAAGCATGCTGGGGCGACGTGAAATTTAAAATACGACATCGGTATGCGTGAAGAACTCACGTAGCAGCTAATGCACCCCACCAGCCTGGCATGGAATGTTGAGCAACGCACATGGTTGAATTTGACTGCAATCTCAAAATTGATGCGCCGCGGCCCCCAGAAAAATATGACGGAGCACCGGCAGTCCCGGACAATTGGTCGGTGGCTCGGTGGCTCTGTTCGCCGCTAGCAATATCTGACGAGCAGTCCACCACTTATGTTGCTAGAGCGTAAAAGAGTCCCGGACCACCGGGTTCCAATTCTGCCCCATTTGGAGTTTCCCGGGGATGGCACATCAATTTGAGATCGCAGAAATAGCCACTTACCACACCACACGACCGTGAGCCAGATGCTCCACCAGATCAATTTGACACCCCATATCTATATACGCGTGAGAAGGCGGAATCAGTGTGCTAACGCAGCGCCATACCGTCGAATTCTTGTACGACGTGAGCCCGAGGATGCCGGGGATCCAGAGCAGCCCCAAGAAGGGAACGATAAAGAGCGTCCAGCGCGTCACAATCGACACATTTATGAGATAATTGTACACTCGCGAAAACTTACGGGGCTGCATGTGAGTGCGCGGATCTACGTAGCACGCAATGAAGACGCCAAGACTCACGGCATTTTTGGGGAGGTCGCCCTCCGCGAAGACGAGGTGCGCCTCGCTCGCGCGCCGGGGATCAAATTCCACGTACGAGTGCTCGAGCCGCCGGATGCCACCGAGGAGGTCCCAGCTGCTCCTGTTGTTCGCGGGATGGTAGTCGGCGGTCTCGTTCCGGCGGTGTGTGCCAGGGTAAGCCGGGGCGGGCTCCTGGTCGTGTGCGGCGTAGTCGCGCGAGCGGGGTTCGCTTCCCAACTCGTCCGCCTTGCTCTGCTTACCGGCGTGCTGCCAGTATCCCTTGTGGTACTGCCCCGGCAGGAGAGGATGAGACGGGGTGTTCGGATCGGAGTCGAACTGCACGGCGGGGGAGATGGGGCGGGAGGACGACGAAAAGTCGTTTCTGCCGCCGAGGGACATTCTGAGGAGTGAGAGCAACAGATGAGTAAGGACAGCAATGAGCCAGGCACGCGACAGATGATGCAAAAGTTATGGTGGTTGTCGAGAGCACGAAACCGGGAGCTGGGAGACACGCAAAGCTGGAGAAAGCTGGGAGTTTTGTCTCCTAGGCCCGCCTGGTCGGAAAGACGGACTGTGGTGGTGGAACGAAAGAGAGCAAAGGAACGATAGCGGGAGACCTGCGAGTGGACGCGAAGAATGTTTTTTGATTCAAGCACGTGACCGCATGAGACATAGCAGAACGGGCGCCTGAGATTGGAGCAGGCTTAGCAGTAGGCGTCAGATCGAATATGACTTTGACCGTGAGCGACTGCGTGGACGCCGTGGAGCAACGTCTGCGCTCCCCCTCGCAGCGTGCCAGGTCACCTGTTGTCCGAGTACAGCGAGAACATCAACAAGGAGTTTGCATGGTTCACCCCGCGCTGGGTCATGTACGCGCTGTCTGCACCACTCAGAGCATGATTGAAAACCAATCCTCCACGGGCTGACCATGGCATTACTGGAACGGAAAACGTAAGCTTCCAACGCTACTCAAACAACGCACGCAGGTGTATCAGATAACTACTCGGCACCGTCATCTACTCGGATGCCGCCGCACCAGCCGCACCGCCGCTCGAACCAGCTCCGCTCCCGCACTCGGCACAACTGTCTCTGTAACGGTCGATATCGACCCTGATGGTGGCGGCGATGGGTCCGATGAGGAATGTCGTCGCGGCTTGAAGATGAGCGCGATGATAAGACCAAAGATGATCAGCAGCAACAGGAATATACACTTCCTCCGCCCCGTGTTCTTCTGGTACCTGTAAGCCAAGTCCGCTCATCGGTCAATGCGACACATTCTCTTCCTTCTGATGGAACGCAGGCCCGTCAGAAAGTAATGAGCACACACCTCGTGGCCACATCCAGCTCCCGCACGGCGTCTTCCATCTCGACTGCGGTCTGCTCGATGTTGTACTCAATGCTATCGAGCAACGTGCCCTGGTCGATGACCATCACCGACAGGTCTTTGAATAGTTCTGCCAGCGATGCAATTGACTGGGCAATCTTCGTCAATTCCTGGTCACGCCGCCGCAGATCCATGTCGCCCGACATCATGTCTTGCGCCATTGCTGCTTGGTTGCGGGACTAGAAGCAACCAGGAGTGATCAGCAGGACGCCAGCAGTGGGCCCGACATTGGACCGCATGGGAAGACACGCACGGCAGCAGCGGCCTCGACATCCTCATCAACAGCAGACAGCCCTTCCGAGCCTCTCGAGGAGATCGCCCCCGAAGCGATGAGCAGATCCTGGTTCTTGATCGCATGGCCTTGCAGTTCTGTGGGGCACGAACTGAGCAGTCTGACGCACTCGCGGCGCGGCACGCGGGCCAAAGATACGCACTTTCCATGTACACACGCTGTTTCTTCCGAAACGTCGTGCTGAGTTCCTGCACCTTGGCTGCGAGGCCGCGTTGCACGTTCTTTGCGGCAAGGTCCTCATGGTGGGCGGGATGGGCAGGGGGGAAAGGATGACTGGGCGTCGCACCGATGCGTTGGATGAGAGAATGACACTGGCGGAAGTCCTGGGCACGGGGGCAAGGTGAGCACACGGCCGAGCTGGGTGGGGAGACGGATGATTGGGGGGCGTTACTTTGGTGATGTCTGTGGTTGCGGTCTCAATCTCTCTCTCCTCTGCAGATCGGTCCGAGAAGCCGGGGAGGACATGTTTCGCATGGAGTCTGTCGAGGGCAGTGACTGGGTGTGGTAAGCGCGGATGGCCACAGGAGAAGCCACGAGGAGGCGGGGAGGAGAAACATACTTTTAGCCAGGGTGCCGGCAAGAATCTCCTCCACTTGGTCGGCCACGTCCACCCTATGCGGCGGCAATCGGTTAGTTTGACAATAGGACGGGAGGCTGATCGGAGGATGTGGCAAAGATTCACCATTTGGGCGGCAAGTCTATGTCTATGGATACGTGTCGAGCGTCGTGGCGGATGAGGTGGTCCTGCTCGTCGTCGTCATTGAGGGTGTCGTCGTAGTTTGTGACGACGCGCGAGCGGCGGAAGCGAGAAGAGCCGGCGCGAGAGTCTCTGTAGGAGATGAAGAGGAGGGTGCGCGAGCGGGTTGTCGGGGACGATGAGGAACCTGAAGACATTTGTGCGCAGGGACTGGCTGCTGTGACCGTGGGCAGTCGTCATGCCGCTGTTTGTTTGGCGTGGCCGACGAGTTGGAAATGAATGCGTATTTTGGGCGTGCGGGCGTGACGCACTGTGGCCGGCGCTCGGAGACGGCCACGCGAGATTGCCGCGAGCGCCGGGCCGAAGGGCGCGTGGGCCGGCGCTGGGAAGGGAGACTGGCGCCGGGGGATGGCCGCATGTGGGTGAAACTGGGCACGCCGGAGCCGTGCGATCGGAGAGGAGCGTGACGCGTGACGGGCGTTGTGGCTTGCGCTGGCGCTGGCGCTGTGGTTGGGAGTTATCGGGTGCATCGCATTGACTGTTATCGATCTCGCGTCCGGATCAGGACACTCGCTCTGCCCGTCTTGTGACTGCTCCCCTTGGGCTTGTAAATTATTCCTCGCCCGCTCTGTCTTTTCTATAAAGCCACTTTCCTCCGTCTGCATGTCCCAGCGCACCCCCGCCCACGGCTCCCAGACCGCCACGCCTCCGTTCTCGCTCTCTCTCCTCTTATCAGTCTCCACTCGTCCCTGATTGGCATCCTTATCAACCTCTCGCTGCCTTTCCCAATGTGCAATCTCGTAACGTAAGTCCTTCCCTTTCCCAGATCCATCTCTTCTCACCCTCCCCCAGCGAAGGCTTCAAATATGCCTGTGGTGTATGTCTCCTCCGTCTCCTCCCTCCTAATCTCCCTCTCACCTGATCCACCCCGCCCCCGCAGCACTACATCATCGTGAGCGCTCTTACAACCCACCTCTTCTCCCGCTTCTCCCTTGACGCTTCATTTCCCAGGAACGCAAGAAGGACAAGGTCGACTGCATGAGTCCGTACTGCACCCACTCGCGGCGGCACCGCAATCCCTGCCCCAACTGTGCCTGCGACCGAGTGCGTATCGTCCGCATCATCCCTCGTCTTCCCCGTCTGATACACTTTCTCCAGTACTACGGCCCCGATGCGTCAGAGACCGTCCTCGGTTTCCGCCCCGGCTTCTGCCCAGAGTGCAAACCTTGGTACAACGGCCGCAACGGTGCCCGGTAGCATCGGCATCCCCCCCTCCTACCCCTTTCCTCCCCGTCCGCTCGCCTCTATTCTATTTCTGCCTATTCACATCCTAAAGTCGCCCTATCGTCTGCCCATCCCGATGCTGTATTGCTGCTGTTCATCCTCATCGCTCTCAGCACACTATCTATTGCACGTCACATCCTGTATTATATACTTATCAGTCCTCCACCCATGGATCTAATAACAATATAGTGCATTTAGCTACAGTGAGTTGTCATGTCTAAACCTATCCGATACATGAAGGCGTACCCCATCTACCACTTCACCGCGAGCCCGACCACTTCGCTCTCCACCGCCCTATACTGAGTCCGGAAGAACTGTCGTCTGCGTGCTTCCGCTTCCTCGTCCATGTCCGTGTCCCAGTCCACAACATCGCCGCTGCTCGGGCGACACATTTCCTGCAGCACTCGCGCAGCAAGCTTGTCGGCCTGCAACAACGCCTCGTCCACGTCTCCATTTGCGCCCCTCTCCACTGGCGACGAAGAGGACGACCCCCGCCAATACGCCTCCTCAACCTTCTTCGTCCACTCCCTGTTTCCCCACCTTGCCTCGCCCTCCGGCAGCACCGCGTCCGCGCCCGCCACCACCGACACCCTACCCTGCTCTCCCGTCTTCAACGCAACCTCCTCGGTCCCCGCCGGCGGCTTCAGCTGCCCCCCGCCATTCGCGCACCCGCCCGGGCACGCCATGACCTCCACATACTCGTACCCCCGCTCCGCCTCCCCCGCGGCGCCGACTTTGCGCACGCGCGCCCCACGCGTCCTCCCCACAATCCTCCCCGCCGCGCCGCGCCCGACCTGCACGCCCGCGTCCCGCCCGACCTTGCGCACGACGTTCTGCAGGTTCCGGAACCCGTAGCACTTGGCGCCGCGGAGCCGCACCGCGCCCGCACCCGCGCCCGCGTCGACGAGCGTGTGCTCCTCGTAGTCCGGGCCGCGCACCGCGCGCACGCGCACCTCGAGCTGCGGCGCTGCGGCGGCACTCGCTCCGTCTCCCTCTGTCGACGCGGGGTCACCAGCAGCAGAAGATGCATCGGCGCGCGCGAGGACCGAGATCAGCGATTGCAGATACGATCCCGAGCTGGTGCCTGGGTGCGTTATCAGCGCGGGCAGCTCCGCCGCGTCCCCGCCCGCGTCCTCGCCGGGGACGGGCGCGGCGAGGTCCCACGCACGCTCGCGCATGAGCAGCGCGAGCTCGCCCGTCGTGATCACGCAGTCGACGTCCCGCGCGCCGTGCGCGCCGTCGACAAAGTCCGGGCGCGACGCCTCGAGCTTCTTGTCGTAGCACGGCATCACCGCGACGTGGTATATCTGGTCCGGCCTGTGCGCACCGCCCGGTCAGCACACGTCCGCCGCGCGCAGGGCGAGCGCGGGACGCACCGTTTCCCCCAGCGCGGGCCGAGCCACGCCTTGACGAGCGCGCCCATGACCTGCT